TCCAAAAGAATGTGAGAATGACTGTCCCCTCCAGTGAAACCCTATGGGGTCAGTGAGGCCAAAACCTCCCACAACCTGGACCTGTGACAGCACTGGGCTGCTCAGTCTCTCCCACGGGAAGCCAAACTCTGGGGCAAATGTGAAGAAGAATGAGCCAAGTGTCTCGTTGGCCAACTCCAGCAAAAGTGGCCTCAGCAACTGCCCTGGGAGCCTCTGTCCTTCTGCCCTCTGGGGCAGGTACTGAGGAGGTGACTAGGTTTCTACAGTGAGAAGAGGTTGAACTAATGCTGCAATTCGTCAGTGGAGCTGTGTCTCTCATGGAGGTCGCTTCAGCCTGAGGCACACCAATAACCACTGCATCCCAGAGGCTCCCAGTAGGGGTGGCTAGCTCGTCGGAGGACCAGAAGGAAAGCAGCTGGAGGAAGAGCTCAAAGACAGGTCTCCTCTGTCCACAAAAAAAGGTTTCAGAAATTGAAGGGACAATAAGTACACTTCCTTAATACCTGGGCTTTAGGAACTTTCCACTCTTCCGCCCTCCCTGTCCTCTGCTCCAATCTGGCATCAGAGAGCGTAAATGGGTCAGAACCTCACTCCAATCTGACATCAAACAGTGTAAAATGAGTCACAACCTCTGTGCCCTAAAAGCCCTTGGGAAAAAAGCAGGGTCTCTTTTGCTTCTGCCCCATGAATAGCACAGCAGAGTATCTCAGTATCTTCCTTTATGTACTAATCCTGAACACACAAAGTACTGATCATGTGTCAGGCACAGTCTAAGAGTTTCACATACATTAATGCACTCTTTCATTCTTACACCAACCCCGGTAAGGTGTTATCCAAACACTCTCCATTTTACAAGAGGAAAAAACACGCCTAGAGAGGTTACATTAACCAGCCCAAGTGCACACAGCTGATTCCGCAGTGAGGTAGGATTCAACCCCAGGGAGCCTGGTCTCACACCTCCCCACACAGCCTCTCCCGGTGACTGCTGGACTGTCCTTCACTAGGAATCAGTGGCCCCTCTTTTCTGCTCCCAGCTACGGGAGCTCCTGAGCTCATGTTCATCCAGCACACATGCCTGCCTCGTCAGAAACCTGGCGGATGCCCGGCCTCCATGGAAACACCAGCAACAGCAGGGTGAGACTCTCCTGGGGACAGCTGAGAAGACTTCTCTCCCGCTGGCTTCTTAAAGTGCTTCTGTCGCTCACAATCTTCTGGGTGAGGACAGAAAAACGGTAACCCAGGTAACCCACCCTTCAGCCAGGGGTAATGGACATCCACTGACTGCTGTGGATCTGTAGACCTCACCTTACATTCATCTTCTGTAAAAAGCCACCGTGACTGTCCCATGATGTGGCACACTGAGAGCTACGGTCTGAACTGACCCCTGTAAAACTGAAGGGGAATGGGCCATATTCTTCTAATGCAGTTTCTCAACCTGTACATATTCTGGGCCAGAAAAGTCTGCTGTGGAGGAGCTGCACTATGCACTGCAGGATGTTAGCTGCATCCCTTGCCTCCACTTACTGGATGCAATAACACATCACCACCCACCTACCTTGTGATAACCAAAAATGTCTCCAAATATTATAAATGTCCACTGGGGGGAGGGGAGGATCACTAAGAATTGAAAACTAATTCTCTAAAGGAAGAGTAAAAACAAAAACAAAACAGCTTTTGCCTCTGTAAATTTGGGTCTTTAAGATAGGCTTGGGATAGCCCCTCACATGGGCTAACCCATCCCAAAATGGCAATAGCGCTGAGGTGGAGAGACCTGATTTAGAAGTGAACAGAAACAGCCACTCGTAGTGTAGGGAAGCATGCCCTGTGACCCATGGGGTGTGCTGCTAAGACATAGCCAATGAACTCAGGGATCTGATTTGCCACCGCCCCCCACCCCCACTGCTCTGGGAAGGCAAAGGCAGACAACATACAGTGTTGGAAAACAAACCAAACTTGCTGACTTCAAAACTCAACAATGATAATGAGAAACCCGTTATCAAGAGTTGTCTTTTAAACCAGAAGTATGTGAACAAAGGAAGCCAGTTTTCTGGGGTTCTTGAGTTCTTAGTACATTATATCTCCTTATTCTGACTGCCAGATTTTTCGAGAACACTGTTGTGGTTTGTGTTGTTTTGATTCCCCCTGGAAAAGGGCCCCTAACTGCCCTCAAACTCCTTGGGGTGCTGAAGAAGTTTCACTTTGAAAAATAAAAATGTTTTTTAAAAAAGTTGGCTCTGTCTGAGGAGCCTCTGAGGGAATTTTATTCATTCAGGGTAAAGAAAAAAAAGTGCTTCCCAAGCTGTCTGAAATAGAAGTTCGACAACACAAATCGAATGGTTCGCAAAAGCTACAAAATATTCCTACTACCAACAGTTATATTCTGAGCAGGGAAGAGACAGTGTTAGGATACAAGTTGAACACATGAGACAAATTGTACTTCTTTAACTATGTAATATATCATTTAACTTAAAGTCATAGAGCTTATTATCATTAAGTGAGGACTTGCTATAATCATATCTACTTCAAGGAGCTGTTGGGAATGTTAATGAATTAACGTATGTAAAGAGCTTAAAATAGTTCCTGGTACACAGTAGTTATCATGTGTTTGAGTTTCAAAGTGTCAATGGGCAAAAAGAAACAAATAACCCTTCTTCCTCTTTTAATTGCGCAAAACACTGGGCTTGCACATCAAGAGACAAGTGACTGATGGGGCTAGTTCTGGGCAGGGGAACCTACGCTTTGCACGCCTCAGACTACACCCCAGAAGATGTAAGTGGGGGATTTCTGAAGAAACCAAATCAAGGTCTTTTCAAAAGACTCTAAAATTAAACAGGTGTCTTCCTTCTCTCCTAATTCTTCCTTCTAGCAGCAACGTGAAAAGTTCCAAAATATTCTGATTCTCTTCCTATTTCCTATGTAATTACAGCTGGAATTAGCTGGACTCACCTAAGTCAGGAGACAAAGTCCCAGGTTCTGACACCTGTTGAGCTAAAGGACTGACTCAACTCTGCCCCCATTGGTAATTTGGAGGAAATACACCCAAGTGTCCCCCGTATACTTCACAGAAAGGAAGCTACAAGGGTCAAGAAGCCTATGAGAACACCTTTTCTCATTGCTGTGCTTAATCATCACAACTCCATAAGATGGACAAGGTTGCTACTGTCATCCTTATCCTACAAAAAGAAACCGACAGTCCAAAGAGGCAAAGCGACATGCTCAGGGTCTTGTGTTTTTTGTGTTGTTTTTTTTAAAAGGCCCACAAAACAGAGATTAGAACTCATTTAGAACTCATTTCCAGATACCCTGGCTCATTCTCTTTCCAAAGAGATGGCCCCCTTCCAGGACAAGAGAGTGATACAACTCCACAATTCCCGACCTACCCTCCTTCCTCTGGATTGGGAAAGAGTGAATTTGTAAAATAATAAACTGTCCTGGACCGATACTCACCCAACGGAGAAGACCCTCAGTTTGGATTCAAGATACTATAGTTTTGAATTTGAGAACCTGCCAAGGGATGACAGTCTTCCAAGTGTTAACTCATTTTTTGGGTGGAGAAGCCCAAAGAAGTTGCCAAGATGCTGCCAGCTCAACAGACATGTTCTTAAATAAACTGAAATAAAGTGCACAGCAGGGCTACATCCCAGGAGTGAGAGAGTAACAGCCATGGATAAACAAGAGTAAAAACTGTTCCCTACTCTGAGGCTGGGTAACAAATGCCATGATTCTATCCTTTGCTCTGAGGATCCGCAAAATGGGAGTGCGAGCAGGTTGTCCCACCAAACGAAGCCCAGACATTTTCCGCCAAAAAAAATAAAGTTTCCCAGAAACTTCAAGTATGTAATTGAGCAAAGCTCCGACATTGCCTCACAACACTGGACATCCCCGACCCCTGCCCATCCTCTCTTCTCAAATCCTAGCTGAACCCCGTGGCGGCGCCAATCCCGAAATCCCGAGCTTTTCAGAAAATCCTCCCCAGAGAGAGAGCGCCTCGGGCCCAGCCGGGCCCCACCCCCACCCCATTCCCGGAGGCACAGAGCTAGGCAGCGGGCCGGGCCAGAGGCTCTTTCTTATGTAAATGACCCGGCGGCAGATAGAGCGGGGGCGGGGGGGGGGGGAGAGGAGCTGCTGGAGCGCGGTGGTCACAGACAGGTCAGGGCCAAGGACGTAAAAAGCTCGTTTTCAGAAAGACAAAAATCTCAAGGGAGAAGGGAGGAGCGGGCTTGGGGGGGCGGGGGGGGGGGGGTTGGTCCTGTCCGAGTAACTAGCACGAGTGCCAGAAACCAAATTGCAAATCCGCCCCCCACTTGGAGGCGGTCCCGAGCCCGCGAGGTGGGGGGAGACGAGGTGGGGGGAGACGTACGCCCCTCGCGGAGACTCAGTTCCGGGCACCTCAGTTCCGGGGAGGGGGCGCGGCGGGCGGAGTTTCTCAGTCTCTTTCCCAGCTCCCTCCCAGGTGGGTCTCTCCGCTAGCCCACCTCCGCAAGGCCTGTGGAACTCCACAGGGAACGCACTGCCCCGAAACGCCGTCCTTTAGCGCGGGAACCTCCTCTCCCCACCCCCCGCCCCCACGCGGCAGCGGAGCCTCTTCCCCCAGCCTCCCCACGTGCTCTCTCCGGAACTCGGACGGCTAAGGAGGGGATACTGCCGTGTGGCCCATCAGTCTAAGACTACCAACCAGGTGACCCGCCCCTCAAGGACGCAAGGAAAAAAAAAAAAAAGCGCGAGCGCGCTGGAGTGGCAGGCAGGGAGGGAAAGCGGTGCGGGACTGGAGCCCTAGCGCCTGCACGCGCGCACAAGCCTGCCCCTGCCTAGCGGACGTGGCGCCTCGTACCCACGAGTTTCCCAGCCGCCCAGACTTCTCACCCGTCCTCTCCCCGGAGTGGGGGAGAAGCGTGTCCCCGCTGGGTGAAGGAGAGTTTCGGCTGAGACACAGAGAGAGGGTCAGGGACCACGCCACTTTGTCAGGGGCAAGCCAGCCACCCCGGCCCGCGCTTACTTACCTTCTGCACTTGGTCATGGTTGAGCTCCGTGAAGAAGTAGGCAAGCAGATGAGAGGCGATCATTTTGCCAGGGACCGACGAAGCGGAAACCAAGTTGGGAAACCAAGGCTGGAGCGCGTGTGGGGAAAGGAGGGCGGAGTGGTCAGGCACTTTTTTAACCCGGGTTTGGCGGCGCGACCGGGAGCAGTGAGTCCGAGCGACCCACAAAGAAGTCTAACGGCGATGTTGCGCCCGTCTGAAGGGTCTCGGGTGTCTAGAAACAGGCTTGGGGAGTCACAACTGCCAGAAGGCTCCCAAAAATTACTCCTGGCGACTTGTCGGGTTGCCCGGCTGTCAAGCGCTAACTTCAGCCACAGGATCACTAAGACTCAACTTGGGAACAATCGCAACCAGGCGCCACTTGGGTGATCGGACCTCTCCAGCTCACAGGCACGCTGCTCTCGTCCGCGGATCTTCTGGGTGACTCGTGGTTGCTAGCGGCGGCCGGGGACTCCTGCGCTAGAGTTTCGTGCAACAATGTGGCTTATTGAGGGGCTGCCGGCTCGCGGGCCGCCCAGTCAATGACGCGCGCACACCCATTGGCTGCACGAAGAGGGTGTGTGCGCCCCCGGACCGCCTGCCACCTCAGCTCAGCCAATCAGTGGTCACGGCCCGTGGGCGCGGCGGCTCCGACACCCGAGCCCGCACGCCAGAGGGGCGCGCCCGGGGCTGGGGGCGGGGCGGCAAGGCTGGGATGAGACGTGAGGTCCGTGGCGAGAGGCTAGGGAGGAAAGGCGCATGAGCCGCCGCCGCGTCAGGCTCAGCTATGTATGGGTGGGTGGGGGGGGGGGGGGACGCGTGATTACAGACCCGGTGTGTGGGGCGACTGGAAAGACGGGTCACCGGACCAGCACACGCCCTGTGCGGGGAGAGAGATACTGTCTGACATCTTGCGGTCATGTGAGGGGCCCCACTGGCGGGTCACACTGCTGAAGCATATTAGTTCTCACCTATTGTGACTCAACTATCCTTTCAACGCTGATGCAAAAGGAGACGCCGCAGCTACTGCTTACTTAATTCCAGGCATCGCAAAACGGATAGGATGTGGTTTTACTAACTTCATTTATAGGTGAGGAAACTGAGGCACAGGACCGTTGAGAGATAGGCTTGCCCAAGGTCGCACTGATAATAAGCAGCAGATGGAGGAAAGAACCAGTATACATCTGACTTTGAGGCCCTAATCTTTTCCCTGTTACCCCATCCTGCCACTCTACCAGCCGGGAAAGTAGAAGGAAGGATGAAATGAGCTTTGTCTGCAGCTGTGGAACTGATGCGTGAATGAAACTGGGTGAGTGGTAAGTGGGTAACTGAATGATCCTGGACATGTGTGGGGTGGGGCGGAGTGGCTTACAGATGCTGAGAGTGGCAGGAACCCCAGTCACAGCTACTGCTTGGCACCACACTCCAAATGTTTGCATATGGTGAACGCCAGTAAGAATGAAATAACTGCAGCAGACAAGACATTGGTGCTTGTGAAGAAGAGTGAGCCTGAAGTTGGAGAGTTTGCAGTGGACAGATGAATGTGTGCCTTTTTCTACTAGGAATTTCTCCTTTTCTCATAAGTGCAATGCTATCTGCAATGTGCATGTGATAGAAGTAATAAATGGCCATTGTTGGAAAATAAGAATATAAAAACAGGAAAAGCAAAGGCATCCATGATTCAGCCTCTGAGCAAAACTTCTTGAAAGCTATGTACCCTTGCCAGCTATATTTTCTCACCCCTCCTTCTCTGTACTCCAGTACATTTTGGGTCCCAAAATACTTTTGTCATAGTCACCATAATGACCCACATGCTACCAAATCCTATGTTCTCATCACTTCTCTGCCATTGTCTTCCTCCACCTCTCAGGGTTGCAGTTGACTGCAATCTCCACCTGGACACACCTTCTTCTGTTGGAGCGTGGAAGCTCCACCCTCCTGCTTTCCCTCAAACCTCACTCTCTAGGCACCTCAGCCCAGGTTTTTTCTACTGGTAAGGAGGGCTGTCCTCCACCCTCTTCTCTGATCTAGTTATACTCTCTCCCTGGTAAGTCCTCCCAGCCCCATGACTGTTACATCATCCACACACTGATGACTCACACAGGTGTATCTATAGTGAGGACCTCTCCCAGAGCTCCAAACAAATCTCTCCAACCACCATCTGTCATCTCCACTGAAGTGTCTACCACCTCACACTTAATGTGTCCAAAGTTGAACTCAATTTTTCTTTCCCAAATTCATTCTTTTCCCAATTGTCTCAGCAAAGGGCATCACCATCCACTCTAAGTCATCCTTCCTCCCTGCCACTTACCCTCATATCTAGTCACTGCATCAGCAAGCAGTCAACTTGACCCATAAAATAGATCCTACAATTGGCCACTTTTCTCCATACCCTTGGACACCTCCTAGTCACACTACCGACAGCTCAGCCAGAGCCAATACCACACGGTCCTACCTTGCCCCTTGCATCCATTCATGCCTACTTCTACCCTGACCCCTATAGTCTCTCCTGCATGCAGGAGTCAAAGTGACTCTTTTAGTATATAAACCATTCTATGTCTTTTCCTGACTCAAATTCACTTAATGGTTTCCAATCTTAGAAGAAAACTTAAGCCCCAGACAAGGACCACTAAGTCTTTATATAGAAATTGCCCCTGCCCCATCTTTACCCCATCCCATACTACTTTCCCAGCACTCTGCTTGGCATTCACACTGGCATGTTTTCCTTGAAAATACCAAACTCTTTCTCACCCAAGGGCCTTGACCCTTCATTTTTATTTTTGTCTGAAATGTTATTCTCCAGTTCTGCGTCCAGCTCATTCTCCCTCCTCTCCTAGGTTCAGCTTAAGTAGCACCTCCTCAGAGGACTTTCCCCTGACCAGTTTATCTCAATTAGTTCCCCAAGTCACTATCCCGTGGCCCTGATTGATTGCCTATTGATTTTCTGTATATTCTTTCTCTTCTCAGTAGACTGTGAGCTACAAGAGGGCAGGATCTGTTTCTTTGTTGTCCCCTCACATCTGCAATGCCTAGAATGGTGTCTGTCTCATGGTAGTCTTGCAATATATACTTGTTGGATGAATGAATAGAAAAAAATCTTAGGGATAACCATGTTTCACAGTTTGTTTAATAATACAGAGAGAGTTAGTTTATCATTTTATCTGTTATTTCTCAAGTCTTTTCCTGTTTCTCCATCTACCCTAGTTCACACACCCAACATCTCTCACTTGGCTGCAGCAGCCTCATAACTGGGCTTCCCCCTTTAGCTATAGAAACACCATCAATATATAGATCTAGATATGCAGCAGAGCTCAGAGGAGTGAGGTGATCTTGCTTTTTTTGGAGCAAGAAATGCCTCCATGTGGATGGGAGGAGAAGGTCAGAGACCAGAGGCTGAAGCTATAGGAGAGGACCAGGGCCTGAACCCAGGGGAGGGTGGGATAGGGCATTGGGCTTTGGGTTTAGATATTTTAAAGTATGAGGTAGAATTGATGGCTTTGGTCAGGAATGGTTGATGAAGAAGAGGATTCCTGCTCCCTAATATACTTGGAAACCCAATAGTCCGGTGCTACAACATCTGTTGGACCCAGGAAGGTGGGGCCAAACCAAATAGGTCATGTCAGCTATGATCCCTTCGCCACACAGTAATTTTAGAGTCTCTTCTCCACTTCCTTCTCTGGTCCCATTTCATGTGGACCAGATAATAATCACAATATACTTAAGTGCACATTATGCCTTACAAAGCTCCCAACCCTGTGAGGTGGTTAGAGTCGGTACTGTTTTAGCCCCAATTTACATGTGACAAACTAAGGTGGGTTACTCACACAAGGCTGAGACGTATCCTCAACTTTCCTGGCTCCAAACTTCATGCCTGGAGTTTATTATTTATTGATTCTCAGATCTCTCTCTCTCTCTCTCGTTCTCTCTCTCTTGTTGAAGACTAATGAGACATCCATGCAATTTAGAGTCCACAGCCCCAGGAGAGAAATAAATCAGCAAATATTTATTGAACAAACCCTTACAACATTTAGACAGTCTGCTCAGTACTGTAAAAAATGCAAAAGAAACACAATATGCAGTTCTTGCTCCTCGGGGATTAACTCTTTAATCAGAGATATAAAATCCATACATAAAACAATGATCACAGAATAGAAAAGTCTATCATTGAGAACCAAACTTGTATTTCTCTGTATGTGATGAAGTTTTGCAGGAGGGAAAAACAGAGCCACAGGCCAAAGTCAGCCAAGGATAGTCTGATGAATAAAAATTCTAGCCTTTATACCAGGCTGGGTCCGGCCTCACGTAGGGATGACCTGCACCTGGCAACTAGGCTTCAGGGGGCTGCCCTGGAAAGATGCCTCTTTACTAAGAGACCTCCACCTGCCAAATATTCTTTTTTCTAATTAGGATTTATCAAGTTTGCAGCATCTTATAATTGTGGAATTATGTAGAGAATATGAAGACTAAGGGTGAGCCTACCCTAAATGTAAATACTTAGGACTCCTTACATTATATTGTCTTTAATATTGGGTCTTAATGATCTGCATAATCTCTTGTGCTTCATAGTTTTATTGTATGAATTTCGAAGGATCAGAAAAGAAAGGCATTGAAAAGCAGTTAAAATAGAAAAACAGAAGCCACAGGATAAGGAACAACCTCATTTTATCAGTCAGATTTGCAAATAGAATCCATTCAAGTTGGTTTAAGCAGAAAGGGAGTTTGCTGAAGAATATTTAGTCCTTTTCAGGATCTTCAGGAGAGCCAGAGAATCAGGCTCAGAGGCTAGCTATCCAAGAGTGATGTCTAAATTATACCATTAAACTCCACTAGTGGAAATGCTGGTACTATCGCCACTGGGCTTAGGCATCTCTGCCCACACTCATGATACCGGGCACAGGATTTTATAGCTGGGATATGCTACAGCCTTTAACAGCTGGATTCTGTCTTTGGCATCCTTGCTAGAAGGAATTCTGCACAGCACCTCCTTCTTTATGGTACTTACTTCCCACCTGACATCCTGCAGCTGGTTGTGAGAGGCTGAGCCACATTCTTTTGCCCTAGCTGCAAGGGATGTGGGGACAGCAAGCCCAGGCAACCAGATGTCATACCTTAGAGAAGTCCTCAAATGTAAGAAGGGTGTTCAAAGGTACTGGGCAGGTCAAGAGCTTGACAAACATCTACCACACCCAGTAGTCACTGAATATGCTGCATCAGAAAGTTTAAAGTGCCCTTAGACAAATTGGTTTCCTAAAATTCCAAAATATATCAAAAAGATTTAAAAATAGGACATCTGCCCTCATTGGGAGCTATACTAAAGAGAAAGTAGTCAGTAAGCTAAATGACACCAGGAAAACGTACTATCAATGACTTGACATGGGCTGGATGATTAACCCTCTCCACACACATTCTGCAACCCAGAGCCTGTCCACAGATGTAATCAGTGTCACAGTAAATGAGGAAAACATCACTATGAAATATTGCCAGAAGGCCCCCCTCCAATGCCAT